GCCCCCCAAGAGGCCCCCAAGAGACTTCCACAAGGTTCCCCGAGGCACCCAAGCCCCTGGGCCGCCAAGAGGCCCCCCAAGATGCCCCAAAAGGCCCCCGGGGAGCTCCCAAGAGACATCCGAAGACACCCCGAAAAGGCATCCAAAGGGCCTTTGGCCTTTTTGCTCGCCCCCCGCTTCCTCGATACTGTCCTACCGATTCCTCCTCCTCCTCCTCCTCCTCCTCCTCCCCCTCCCCCTCCTCCTCCTCCTCCTCTCTGGTCGTTTGGCAACCCCTGCATCTCTTGCACTCTGGAGTTTGGTTGGCAGCGGCGCACTGGAAAAAACAAATCCTCTCTGGTCGTTCACCCCCCTACCCCTCCTCGCCCCCCTCCACTTCCCCGCCCCCCCCCCCCCCCCTTCCCTCCCTCATCCCTACCTCCTCCATCTCGTCCTTCCCCGATCCCCTTCCCCCCCTTTTTAAGGAGCACGGCGGTCCTTTGGTTCTTCTGCGCGCCCCCCTCTTTCCCTAACCAGTGCAACTCGTCTGGGCATCGTTGCTGGATGAGCTGGTGGCGTCGCGCGAAGCGTTTAGAATTCCCTGCTCGTCGCCCGCGTCGCCCCCATCCCCATCCCGCTCGGCGCTGTCGCTGTCATTCCCGCTGTCTTTCGCCCCTGGCGTCGCCCTGTCTCCCTGCTCGACCTCCCCCCTTCCACATCATTCCTTGCCTCGTCCTCGCCGTCATCGCCCCCCGCCCTGCGCCGCCGCCCCCCCCCCCCCCCCCTCGCCCAAACCCTTTCTCCTCATCCTCACCCCGAGGCGGAGTCGGGAAGGGAAAAAGGGGGCGGTGCATTTTTTATGAAACTCCGGGCGCCTCGAGCGCCAAAGCGCAGAGGCGGCGTCCCCGCGCGGGGGCGGGAAGCGCGAAAGCAAACCGGGACGCGGGCAATGACTCTCGCGCCCAACCCCGCCCGCCCCCGCCCCCGCAATCGCAGGCGGCACAGGGGGGGAGGGGGGGGAGGGGCACATGAGCACTGAACAGGGGGAGGGGGGAGGGCGCCGAACGAAACCGGCGCGCGACCAAACCTGTCATGGGCGACTTCAAGTCGACCCACAAGAGCCTCGGGTGCCGACATAGACTGAACATGTCCACGTGGACGTTCTGCGACGCCCGCATGCCAGAGCCCCGCGTCCCGCGCGCAAGGCAGAAATCGGCGACCCCTGATTTCACGGGTGATCCCCCCCCTTCCACCCGCCCGCCCCGCCCACCCGCCCGCCCCCCCTGCCCCCCCCCCCCCCCCTTCGGACCCATGGAAGCACTGGAAGCAGCGAACATGATAGTTCGAGCCGGGGCGAACGCACGACGACCATGAGCATGAAGTTTTGTTTGTTTTCTGAAGGGGGGAAAGAAGGGGGGGCGGGGGGCGAGGGTCAAGACATGCGGCTCGAGCGAGCAGGCGCCCCCCCCATTGCCCCACGAACCATTTGCATTGGAAAAGGGACGCGGCGCAATGGGCAGTTTGCCACATGCACGGGGGGGTGCCGCCTTGACGCGCGCCTTCCACTCGAAACGATCGTTTGCCGCGGCGCGATTGCCCGACGGGGCCCGGCCGCGACGTCGAGCACCCTTCTCGCCATTCCCCCCCAATACACACACACACACACACACACACGCACACACGCACACACACACACACACACACACACACACACACACACACACACACACACACACACACACACACACACACACACACACACGCACGCACCACCCCACCCCACCCCGCCCCGCCCCACCCCACCCCCCGCCCCACCTCCCCCCCATCCCCACCGCCCCCGCATCCCCCGCACGTCCTCAACCAAACGAACGCGCGATGTCGCGCGTTCCAGGGCGCCGCCAAGGGCCGCAGACTCCCGCCGCGCCCCGCGCGCGCGTTGCACGGCGGGGGTTGCCGATGAATAACAAACGCCGCCCCCCCGCGCGAACCCTATCGCCGGCGCCCGCCCTTGACAAAAACATCGCCCCTGTTTCGCGGCCGCTGCGCCTGGACCGCGACCGCCTGCGCTGGAACGACGAAGCCTGCTCGGATTGCCCGCGGCGCCTGGGCGCCAGCGCCCCGCGCGCGAAGCGGGATTTGGCGACCCCTGTTTGCCAGGGGTGGCATGCGCGGAGGGCGATTTCACTGCCCCTACCTATTGCGGACTCTTCGGGGCGCCGGGGGCAGCGCGCGAAATAATTGGGCCTGGCGGGGGGGGGGCGGAGCGGGGGGCGCGACGAGCATGAGTAGGGGGCTTTCGCGGGGGGCCGGGCAGGGCCCGAGGCGGGCAGCTCGAACGAGCGAGCGCGACCCAATTGCCCTGCGCCCCTGTTGCGCTGGAAGCACCAGCTGCGCAACGCAACGGGTGGCGGGTCGCGCAGGGCGCTGCCACTCTGGCGCGCGAGTTCCACTCGAAGCGAACGCATCCTGGGGCGCACTTGCCAGACTGTGAATGGCTGGGGCGCCTACCATCATAACCCTAATCACCGCCTTCACACGTCCTCTTCACCCCCCCCCAACCCCTCGCGCCCTCACTTCAAAGGCGGCGGGGGGGGCCCGATGACTCCCGCTGTGCCCCGCGTGCTCTACATGGTGAGGATTGCCAATGAACCGGACAACGGCCGAATGACCCGCCGCGCGACCCCTGGCAGCCATGCCCCTCCTTAACAAAAACCTGCCCCCTTTTTGTGGCCGCCGCGCTCGCCGCCGCGAACGCCCGGACCCCTCTGGTTATCCCATCCCAGGTCGATGGTCTTGCAACGATAGTAGTTCTTGCTGGACCAAAGCAATTGCAATCTCTAACGTGTCGAAATCCGAAAAGGTTCCCGATGACGGCCGTGATGTCCTTGTTGCCCAAGATGGTGGCGGTGCCGTGGGGTCCAGTGGATTTCGGAAGTGCTACGGTAGCCCGTGTTTGATTCATTGTGTGGGTCGTCGTTCCCAGATGTAGTAGCTTAGCGTTCCAAATGGAATATGCAGCCGCCGCGGATTTTACAGGCGACGGCCGGGACGGAGTTTCCAATGCCGAAATCCGTTTGGTCATGTCGATGGTGTCTGCCTCCACGAGGGCCTCTGCAGCATCACGGTCCTCCCTAAGAAAACATGTCATTCTTCGAGATGGCAGTGACATCGCTCCGGAGCATGGTGGGCTCCTCGTTCAGTATGCCTCTGAGTTCTTAGCTGTTAGGTGTGGTCCAGGCACCATGTTGGTGTGCTGGGTGTTGTCGGCTGCGCCGTTCAGCCGTTGCTCGAATACTGCTTGGCCAGAGCCTGCGCCTTCTTTGTCATTCTTTAGCGGCGAGCGGCCAATGCGTGGTACTTTTTTTTCCGAGGCCTCGAAAGCTGAGCGCCGTGGCTCAGGCCAGGAACTAACCTGTTTCTCCAGCATATTGGCGTGCTCAAACGGAGCAGGATCAGACCAGGGTGATGTCAGAATACGGTATGAAAGCTTGAGCCACGGCCTTGAGGGGGAAGATGAACACAGGGGCACGGGATAGGGATGGGGACAGAAAGGCAGGTGCACCCGCCAGGGGACGAAGGCGGAGATGAAGACGCTGGAAAAAAATACAAAAATACGGGGTGAGCTGGCCGCGACCAGGTGGAGCCAGGCCAGGGTGACGAGGGTACGACATTATTACAAGAAAAATGGGCGGGGAGGAGCGCCCTGAAGGGACCGGCCTCCTAAAGCCCCGCTCGAGCCCGCCGCCCTCTAAGAGAGCAAGCTCGCCAGATCGGCAAACAACAGGAGACATTGGTCCGGAAGTTCCTCGCCGCCTTCGGCCTCCCAAAGCCACTCCTGGTCCCCAGGGCCATCAAGGAAGGGCTCGGGATGATAAGCCAGGACGCATCTCAGGGGCACCGCTCTTGCAGATCGGTGCTCACTCGTTGGCGGAGGTTGCAAGTGCGATACCCCTTTCCAAAGCCTGCGCGGCCAGCAAGGTGCCGCCTCCCCTTTCAGGATCCAGCTCCTCCAGCGGGCGTGCTGCCCTGCGGGCGGCAGTGCCCCTCTGCGAGATCGGAATGCTCAATGAGAAGGCCGCCCTGACTGTCCATGCCGTCCACAACGAACCTAACCCGACCCGAATCGACAGGCCGCAAGCAGCATAGAAGAGCGGAGCAGCGTGGCAACGACACAATGACCGACCGAACCGAGCCGACAGAACGCAACCGACTGCGACGCGCCGCGGGGCGGGAGACGCGCTTCTGTGCGACCCAGGGTCAGCCAGCGTCGCCCGCGGCGGGTGCCTCGGTCAGCGCGCGCGCGGCCTGGCGTATGGTCCCGTGCGGGAATGGGAGCCCGCCCTGCCGTATCTCCGCGCCGACCACGCCGTCGCGCGCGTTGAACATGATCCTCGAGATGGGCATCCACGAGATGGTCGAAGGACAAAGCTCGTGAATCTGGTGGGTTCCCCACGGTGCCTGCGCCGAAGGGCGTTTGCTTCGGCTGTGAAGGGCGTTGCAGCCGTTGCTGCCGGTATCTCCTGATTCCGAGCCCCTACCACCCCCCCCCCGCCCCTGGTTGCAACCAGCTGTGGTGGCCGCCACGATGAAGCCCATACTTGCTAACCTCCCCGTGCATAGCCCGATCTAACTCACCTAGCCTCGGACTTCGCGCTGCGCGATGTGCGAAGCGCGCTTGTCCTCGCGCCCCCGCAGAGTACCAGATGTCCGCTGAAGCTTCCAGAGTTCCCCAGCATGCTCCCCCGAGAATGCTAAACGTTGAGAAGCATGTGTCCTGTACCCCCGAGGGTCGAGGATCATCGCCCCTCCAACTTCTGGCCGCCGCCGGTGCCGATCTTCGCAGGCCGGCCCGTACTAGCCTCTCCCAACTCCCAACTGGTCCCACCAGCCCTGGTGGCCGCCAGCAGTGGATGCCGACACCTGCCAGAAAAACCGCCAAAGATCCGCGATGATTCTTTGGTTCGGCACTGGACTCCCCTCCCCGCACCCCTGGCGAAGCCGCCCTCGGCGCTCTCCGCGTGGCGGGGAAGCGGGATGGAGAGGGGGTCTGGCGTCGATCCAGGAGACTCGCGCGGAAGACGACAAACCCGTCTAGAAGCTTTGTCATTCAACAGGATCGCATTGAAGTAGGAGTCGGCCTCCGCCTGTGTCGCGTAGCAGTAGTAGAAGCACCTGCCGGATCCCTCCTCGGTCACGATGACCGCCCTGGCGTTCATGCGTGTGCACGTGCCGAAGCCAGTCTTCGCATGCAGCCGAGCGCCAATCGCGGGGGCATCTTCGGACGTCGCCTTCTTCATAGCCTCGAATACCAAACATCTGCATAGACATAAACAGTTCAAAGGTCTGCGCGGACTTCTTGGATCGGCAATGGAGGCGCCAGCAGGAGGGTCAAGCGCCGATCCAATAAATGTGGGCGGACCTCAGAACCATTCACTCTGTTTACCATCGTTCGGAAGAAGTGGGAAGAGATATGAAATAGGAAGACGTCGAAGTAGACTCGGCTTCCGCCTGGCCCTTGAAAATGAAGGAAAGGTGGAACCACCCGATTATTGAAACAGGAAGGCGCCCAAATAAAATTGGAATCTGGGGATCACAGTAGTACCAACTTCCGACGAACGCTGAGTTTGCTTATGCAACTGTGTTTTCTTCGAAAGCCTCAAGTGCTTCGGCCATCGCCGCCCCAGCGTTGGAGATCGAACTGCGCACCCTCTGCACGGGGTGGAACACCTCATCCGACACAGGCGGCAGCTCTGCGTAGCGCAGGAAGAGGCGCAACGAGACCGCGCACACATGAGCTGAACCTCGAGTCTCTAAGAATCACCAAAGACGCCACATCCGTCCCTTCTCTGAAACCGCCTCCACAAAAATCAATCGGCATCGAAACGGGCAACAAGATCGAATCGGAATACGTGTCCGATCGGGCCTTATCGGCAGGGAGCCGAATCCGAATCGGATCGACTGCGCCCAGATGCACACCTACGCTGTGCAAGCATCGGGCCGAATCGGACCGCCAAGAAATCGAGATCTAATCGGATCGAGCCGGGCGAGTCCGGCGTCGAATCGGATCCATCAAACCTGCCACCTCCTCCTCCTGCTGCTCTGCCAATCCTCCATCTCGAGGGGAGAGGAGGGAAGAAATGTGGGGGGAGAGGAAGCTGGTACTCCATCCCACCTGGCCTCAGCTGGAGCGGCAGTGCTCCCGACCGCCCCCCCGCGGTCGGTTCTGGCACGAGGCGCCCGTAGCTTCTCACACCATCTTGGAGCCCCCGTGGCCTTAGAATTTGCTCATGAGTGCCTTGGAGGCCTCTGGGGCCTCGACCGCGTGACCTGACGCCCCCACCCCCAAGGTGACAGCGACGGTGCCCGCAGGGAGTGTGCACGCGCGCCAGGAAGCGCCCCTTCCCAACCCTCCTTATCCTGTTCCCGAGGAGGAACACTAGGGAGGGGACTGACAGAGGCGGGGAGGGCATCGACTCGGAATCGGCAATACATCGGCGATAGATCGGCGATAGGCGATAGGCCCCAGATGGCAATCCTCAGCTTCCTGGGCAGGCTGGGCCAACAGGCCCATGTCGGAGATCAATGGGCAGTTGGGGATCGATGCATTCCAGCCTGAGCCTTTCCCCTTACCGTTGCCCCTGGTTGGCTCGTCGCCCCCTCGAAAAAGCTTGCCAATTGTTCTCATTTGTCGCCGTTCGTCGTTCGTCATTCGTCGTTCAATGTTCGTCGTCGTCGTCGTCGTCGTCGTCGTCGTCGTCGTCGTCGTCGTTCGTCCCCCCCCCGTTTCCCCTTCGCCCTGGCAGGGGACTGAGCGGGTCGTGACCGTAGGACCCAAACGCAAGCTCTCAGCTGCAAGCAGCTACGGCTGCCAGAGAAGTGAGGGCGAGGACCCCCGCACCCCACCCGGAGACACCGTTCTACGAGAACGACGCCCATGAATGCGCACTGCTCTTGGACCCCCCTTCGGGCCCCTCTTGAAACGAGTTGCGCTGTAGACCTGTCAGATCCCAGGGCCGGACAACTGCGCACCGTACCACTTCTGGGTTGAGTAGCTATCGGGCACGACCAAGTGGTGAGGTGCACACACGTCGCCCGCCGACATACGATTGAAGAGCGCGGCGGAGGAGGAGGAGGAGGAAGGGGGAGGAGGAGGAGGAGGAGGAGGAGGAGGAGGAGGAGGAGGAGGAGGAGGAGGAGGAGGAGGAGGAGGAGGAGGAGGAGGAGGAGGAGGGAGGAGGAGGAGGAGGAGGAGGAGGAGGAGGAGGAGGAGGAGGAGGAGGAGCACCCCACAACGCTGCGCATGTCACTCTGGTGACCTCGGGAGCCGCCCTCGGCGCCCTCGCGCGCCCTGGCAGGACGTCCTCGGGAAAAAGCCGCGCGCGCACCGAGTCGAGAGCCCACAAAAAGACGTACGCGCTCATCCACGTACGCGAATTACGGCGCCCCAGACCGCCCGTGTTAGGAAGGTTCGCGCCGCGCGCACTGTTGAAACCCGTGACAAATCATGTACACGTACTTCAGAGGATCCGTTGGCGTTCTGTTCCCCGACATCAGACATCGGGGCAAAGAACGCAGATGTGCGAAAAGTCACGACCGGATATTTCCGCAACCCTGTATCCGAGCCAGACCTCGAGCCAGATCGATCTGTGAGGGCCCCAGGGCCCGAGAACGCCCGTCTCTCAGGGCCCCGACCCTGGTAGCGCACCCGAGAATACTGAAGCCACGGAATGAAATACTCTCCAAATCCCACTAGCCCTTTAAGGCGTATGTGGTCTAGAGCGTTTCCTCTGGCAACCCCCTTCTTTCCCTTCGGGGAGGGGTTTACCCCTCCCCTTCCCCCTCCCCACCGACCTGGACGAAGGGTGCCGCGGGTCGTTGGGACGTCCAAGATGGCCCAAGACGGCTCCAAGAGCGAAAAAACACAAAACATTGATGTCCCTTAGGTTTTGGAAGGATTTTGGACTCTTGGGGGGGCCCAAGAGGCGATTCGAGGCACTCTAGAAGGGCAGGGCTAATATACGACCCCCCCTTCTTTGATAGATCTCCTCCAACATGGCCCCAAGAGCGCCACGAAGGCTCCCAAGAGCGCCCCAAGAGCGCCCCAAGAGGCCCCCAAGAGGCCTTCGAGAAGCTCCCAAGAGACCCCCAAGAGGCCCCAAGAGGATCCCAAGATGGCCCAAGACGGCTCCAAGAGCGAAAAAGCCGAAAAGCACAAAACATTGACATTCCGTAGGTTTTGGAAGGATTTTGGCTTCAAAAAGGGCCCAAGAGGCGATTCGAGGCACTTTAAAAGGGCAGCGCTAATATACGACCCCCCCTTCTTTGATAGATCTCCTCCAGGATGGCCCCAAGAGCGCCCCGAAGGCTCCCAAGAACGCCCCAAGAGGGCCCCAAGAGGCTCCAAGAGGTCCCCAAGAGGCCTCCAAGAGGCTCCCAAAAAAACCCCAAGAGGCCCCAAGAGGCTCCCAATATGGCCCAAAACGGCTCCAAGAGGCACTAAAGCCGAAAAGCACAAAACATTGACATTCCTGAGGTTTTGGAAGGATTTTGGCTTCAAGAAGAGCCCAAGAGGCGGTTCGAGGCACTTTAAAAGGGCAGCGCTAATATACGACCCCCCCTTCTTTGATAGATCTCCTCCAGGATGGCCCCAAGAGCGCCCCGGAGGCTCCCAAGAGCGCCCCCAGAAGCCCCCAAGAGGCCTCCAAGAGGCCCTCAAGAGACCCCCAAGAGGCCACAAGAGGCTTCCCGATATACGCAAGAGGCCCCCGGGACCGCCAAGAGGCCCCAAAGACGGCCCAAGAAGCCCCGAAGCTCGCCGTTGTCCTCCTCGTCCTTCTCTGTTTCTTCCTCCTCCTCCTCCTCCTCCTCCTCCTCCTCCTCCTCCTCCTCCTCCTCCTCCTCCTCCTCCTCCTCCCCCACATCCTCCTTTTCCTTTTCGTTTTCCTCCGTCCCGTCCTCCTCGTCCTCGCAGTCTTCCATCTCCTCCTCCTCATTTTCGTTATCCTCTTCCTCCTCCCCCTCATCCTCCTCATCCCCCTCCTGCTCCTGATCCTCCTCCTGCTCCTCCTCTTCCTCCGCATACTCCAACGACGGCGGCTCCTCCTACATCCTCCCCCTCTTGGGGTATATGGCGGCTCATCCCACCCTTCGTTCTTCTGCATGCTCCCCACTTCCAGAACCTCCATTCCCCTGGGACTCATTTCTGGACGGGATGGTGGGGATACTTTTTTTTTGACTTGCGGCTCCCAGGGCGGCTCCAGAGAGCGGGTCAATCTCGACAGGGGCGCAAAGCGAGACGATTGGCAACGAAGGCACATGGGCCAACGCCGCAATGCGCGTGCGAGGGACAAAACGAACCTCATTAGAGCCGACCCGGGAACGGAAGACAGCAGCAAACTGGAAAAGCCGGCGGAGCGTCGCACTGTAGCGCCAGCCCCCGCAGACTAAGCCTGCGAGAAGGAAAGAACGCTGTGCGGGCAGCACAGAACCCGAGGAAAGGCACCGCCAAACGCGGCGAGGAGGAGCAGAAGGGGAGACAGGCGCAGGAGGCGACGAGGGGAGGGGGAAGGAAGGAAACCTCACTCACAGAGCACCTGAAGTGCTCGAGGACAGGTGCGTCGACCCATGACAGGCGTCGGCAGCCTAGTCGTGAGAGACCCAGCCAGCAACTTCCTTGCCACTGGATGGGGGGAGCGCTGCGTGGTACCACGGCTGCACCAGCTGGTGGGGATACTTTTGTTTTTTTACAGCCGCAGGCGGAAGCGCCAGCGGCGAACAGTCACGGTCGGGCTGCGGCCGCGACTAAATTCCCGAGCGCGCGCGGGGCCGCGGATCTGGCGGCAAGCAGCGGCAACCCAGGGCGTCTGAGAGGCCAGCGGTCGTGCAATCCCAGGGAGCCTGAAAAGTCAGTCACCTGAGACGGTCGTGAAAGCTGCAAATCAGGGAGTCTGAAAGGTCAGCCCTCGGGCGAGCCAGGCGCAGCCAAAATGGCGCGCAGTACGTCCCAGGCCGCGACCGAGTAGAGACGACCGCGTGGTAGGGAGCGGTCCCCGTGCGGGAAAGTCAATCCAGGGAGTCTGACGGGTATGGGCAGACAGTAACTGGTGACGTCGTCCAGCAGGAGAAAGGTTCTGACGGCGCCAGCGAACCGTCGCAGCATCAGAGAACGCATCCACGCAAGGGGAAGCCTAAGCCAGAGCAGTCAAAGGAGACCCAACCACTGCTGAGCGATGCGCCTGCGCGCAGAGGACCAGCGAACTGGTCAGGACGCAGTAGGGGTACACGGGTAGCCACAGTGAGAACCCGAGGTCGCTCGGGAGCTACGTGCACCGAACAACTATGTGACGTAGCGCCAGGCGACTAACTCAACCATGTGGGGGCGCTCGGAAGGACAACAACCGTCGTATACCCAAGACAGCAAGTCCCTCACAGTCACAGAGTCCCAGGAAGTTCCGCACACCTGAATGCGCGGGAGAGCAACGAGGAAGAGCCAGACCGTGCTGGTGGGGATACGCGAAACGTCTAGAAATCATGTATCTCATCATGGAGCTTTCGAAATCCTGGTTTGTCATGTCCGAATGTCAAAGGATAGGAATATTCGCAAACTCTTAGTAAACGTCCTCTCGGTTGGGCATTGTAGGGCGCTGCTTGTGGAGGCAAGGGGGGCCGGTCTACTGGGGTGGTGTAGTCAGATCGATGCTTCGGGGGGTCCGGTGGTCCGGTATACTAGGGTGCCTTCGCGTGCTGTTTCCGATGCTCGGGGTAATGCGGACGCTCGTGCGGTTTAATTTTCGTGGCCACC